TATATATATATATATATATATATATATATATATATATATATATATATATGCTTTTGAAATCGACAGTAAAACAAATATGACGAAATACCACTGTCGAATTCTTTAGCAAATTCCCAACCTTGAACATCAATATTTATTCGATATCCTAACATTGTTGCAAAATTTATGGGCATTAAGACTTTGTTCATTACTGCATAAAGAGTTTAAATTACAGGAAAATATGCACAGACATCTCAGACAAACATTTGTGAACAGCAAAAACTAAAAGACTAAATTGTAGACCACAGATTTGATACAATAAGAGAAATTTACAAGCCTTACCCTACCGAACGTCTCACATCTCCAGAAGTACTTTATAAGTTCAAAAAAGATTGGTAATCGGATCTAGTTTGAGTGAAAGTTACTAAGAACCAATAACAAAACCAATTTTTCTATTCCTAATGCTACAGCAAACTATGCAATATGACAATAAAAGATAAAGAAAAATGTTTAACTGTAAATCATAATCGATACCATAACACCAGCTTCATTACCAAAATAAAACGCTATTAAATGTATGTATATATATATATATATAAATTGCAATCAACTCAATTTTTCGAAATAAGGATAGAGAAAAAAAAAACACCTTGACCGACTGCTTAACGGCAGTATATAAACCAATAAAGACAAAAGTAAAAAAACATATTTGAAACTAAAATAGCAGTGATCGAAACGAGATTTGACTCAGCTGACGTTCTTCCACCATGTCAAAGAGATGTACCCTTGCTTCCTTATATCTTTCAAAAAATTCTACCCTTTTTTCTTTCTCCAAAAAAAGAAAAAATAAGACAACTGTAAAACTGATATTGACGTCTTGTTGGTATTTTTTGTTATTTTAATATTTACAATTAGACAGATGAAAATGTAGAAAGAGGTACCATAATTGGAATAAATAAATGTATACAATAATGCAAAGGGTACGTAAATAACAAAGAACACATCATTTAAACTTTATCCTTCAAATTGAAATCCTTAATTGAATAAAGAATTTCAACCGAAACTAATAGTTATATTTTTTAACCCCAAAAACATGTAAAACAGCCATTAGGACAACACCAGTAATGATGAGATTGACAGGATTGTACAGGAGAATGAACTACGTCTTTTTCAACTCAGCTCGCTGCTCGAGTATGCGGTGATTGCATGAACGTTTGCTGGAATGTGCGCATTTCTTCAGGGCGTAAAGCACGCGTTTTTCGCAGGCGCTTCCATTCTCCTGTTCGATAATCCATCTAAAAGAAGGATAAACATGATATCCTACAGAAACACCTATTTAGTTTTAAGCCGTTTGATCACGTAGCAGTGTGTACAGCTAATTTATGCAGCTAATTTATGTGTAATAGAGATTTGAGTTTTTCCAAAATATTGGTCATGTATGAAGGACCATAACTTCGGCCGTGACAATCGTTTTGCAAGAATATGCTCACCAATGACATAGCAGTTAAACACCAAAGACGGAGTAAACTCACTCAATTGTTATTCATCAATTTCTGGAGAAGGCTTATCATGTCAGCACTGAACATGAAAACAAAATTACACGTTGCTAATGTCACAGTACCTGAAAGAAGGTTTCCACACGCATTTTCTGCACTGTTCCATCTGGTCGAAGCTCATCTTCATATGTTTCTGACAGCTTCAACGTCAAGAGATCACCCAAATGAGGGTATGGATGAACTGAAACATCTTCCAGATCGGTTTCATCAGAAAGCTATGACAACAAGAAAACTTAATTATTTAATCCGCTTTGTTTCAAATATTCATATTTTTTAGATCGTAAAAGTTTGTTATTCACTATTTTCAGATTATACCTGCAAACCAAGAATGTAAATTTTTTCACTTCATCGCCCAAAAACTACAGTCCTGCAACATAAACTAACCTTCCCCACACAAGCATACTCATCCTCTTCCTTCCGTGAGAATCACGTTAACAATGGCTCTAGAATCTAAAAATCCTTTGGCAGAGTTAGAAAAAATATAAAGACGAAAAGCGCTTGTGTGGACAGCAAACCCACAAATTGTATTTTCTTTTTAACAACAAATTTGACCACCTTTGTTACCGGACATGAAAGCAATGACCATACGATGACCTTCTTCATTCAATACATTGGCACAAGCTAACATTTCTTCACATTGTCGGCGTGCGAATGATTCACGCTAAATGAATCACCAACAGGTGAGAGTACCAATAAATGAATTATTAATTACCAGTAAGTGAGAGTACGACTATTTCACATTCGTCAAAAAACAATCTTCACATTTCATCCGATCCAGTCTGTAGCTGATGCGGTATCAAGGTAATTAATGATTTCTTTCAGGATGCATCATATAAGCTTTCTATCATAGAGCACAAGTTGTCAATTGAACGAAGACAAAAAAGTTCCAGAAAGAAATTAACGGTGATTCCAAAGAGCAACTCTAAATTGTCACATAAGGTATGAGGACAGTAGAACATACTTCCTCTTAAGAAAATTAAAAGCACGATACTTGTTCCGAACAGAATTTAGTACAATTCCAAACAACAATACCCGAGAGAGATGAACTGCAGCTGAAGACGGCTGTGAATCCTGACTTTGTTCTGACTGTATTGTTGGTAAATCGCGAACATCGCCGTAGGAGGATGTGAGTTGGTTGGTATCTTGTCTGGAGTCACTGCTTTGGTTATTCACAGGAGCGTTACATTCTTCAAAAAGCGAATTTGGATTATTTCGAACTGCAGAAGAAATTGCTTCATTCACTGCAGCCGTAACTTCATCCACTGTTGCGGCCGTAACAGCAGCAGCTTCCTTGGCCTTCTGCGCCGCTATTGCAGCTCGTTTCGCTTCCTAAAAAGTTAAAAATTAATAGTAATTCATCTAATAAAATGGTCTTCTACAGCATGTACGTTCTATCAAATTTTGCAAGAATAAATTATATTTTGCTTTCCAAATAATTGAAATCAGTAAACCACTAACTTTTGCAACCTTTTCGGCCTGTGCACGCTTTCTCTGCTCTTCCCTCTCTTGATGTCTTCTTGCGCGTTCCTCTGCTTCCTGCTCTTTTCGACGAACACTCAGTGCCTGCGGCAGATCACCAATGTCAATAAATTTAGCACCACCTTCGCGTCTCGTTAACTGTCTTTGAAATTTGCGTGGTTCATTCGTAAAACCAGCGGATAATTTGCAAGTATTTGTGGTTGGAATCCCACGCATTGGTACTAAAATATATGAAAACCATTAAGTTTTTCAGACAAATCATGTGAAATTTTGAAAACCACCAAAAAAGTAACAGTTAGTGAAAATTAGACCTAAGATCTTAAGAGTGATATGGTTACAGGGAATGCCGAGATAGAGAGAGCCAATAATTGTTCAGAAAATTACACAGTACCCTTAATCACGTAAAATGCATGAGGATCAGATCTGTCGGTGTACTGAGAAAGTTTAATTAGATATTTGGATATCGGCCAAATCTACCTCTTCTAAAATCAAATGTGTTGATCTTCCCGGCCCAACTGCGACTGTAAACGACAAAGGAAGCCCTATTGTTGATATACCCGAAAATTACCTTAAATTCAAAAACGCTACTGAAACATACGACTCGAAGACTTCTTAATGGACTTTTTGGAAACTTTCTCTTCATGTTTTTCTAACAAAAAAAGGACACTAACAATCATTATTTGGTTTTCTGACAGTGCTTCGCATGCGAATCGGGAAACTTGGTGATACCACGTCAAGCTTCTGATTTTTATTTCGATTGTAACCAATTTCTGCCGCTATAATATAGGGAATGTCAGGAGATCCTTTTCTGATCTTCTAACAGAAGAATAATCTGATATCAACAGTATTTAGAATTATAGATTTCAAAAAATCTAATTTAAGGTGAATACTAGATCACTAACATTTCAAGAGCTCAGCTTTTAACGTATATGATTTAGCACGTCGTTTCAAATTGAAATGTTTTCGACTTTCAATTTCAGTTAAACCAAAACGTGTCTGAAAATCTGAATCTGTTAGGGATATAAAATGATCACCTAAAGGCAATAAGCAATAAAATGACGATGCAGAACAGAAGAATCAGCATGAAATAAAGTATTTATCATCCTAATTAATTCTACAATGAAATCAAAATCAATACACCTTGATTGCACTTTGTGATACGGCACTTAAATCAAGCGGTAACAATCGCAAATTGTTATTTGCGGAGTGTTTTCTAACTGAAAAGAAATTTATGAATTTATGATTACAGAAACTAAGAAAAACTCTTGCCAAACATCAGACTTCATCTTTATTCCTACTTGTTCCGTGTAATTTTTTTTATGTTTATTGTGGAGGGTCGAAAGCAACTTGTGCATGAAAAAAAATCCAGAATGATTCTAATCTGGCGTAATTGCAAGAAGAAATCCATCGTAGAATGTGCTTGCAAGAAACATTTCTCTTTGACAATATTCATATCAATAAAACGTAGTTTCTGGTTACAGACTTGAGACGAGGAAGCATTATTCCCAAACTGACAATGAAAGGAAACTAAAAGCTTACCCATTTTCCTCAACTCATCAAGTGATTTACAGAAATATGAATCTGCATTGGTAGGTGTCGGCGTTATACATTGTCGATTAGGATATTCTCTATACATGTCAGCAACGGTTTCAATCCAATCATCAGCATCTCTTCGAGCTAGTTCCAACAAATTTATTAATGGTTCTTTCCACTGAAATGAAAACAAAATATTTTGAGAACTAACAAATACAGTAATGATAACGTAAATAAAGAAAACACACAAAAAAAGATAAAAAAAGGTTTCGAAAGAACATTGAGTTTGGGTAGTAGGAAATCAATGGTGTTTCACTTTAAAAGTGCATTTACCACTTATTTTACTGATGTGCGAGATTTAAAGGTCATAAAGAAACATTATAGACATGTTCATATTTGGTTTACATCAAATATCGTCTAGGTACATGAACAAAAAACCAAAAAAACAAAACGAAAAAGAACGCACCATTGTAATAAGTCGATAGGACAAATGCGGGACAGCTAATATGATTTTCAGTTTAACATGCGATTCCAGCGCTTGAAAACATGTTTCCAATTCTACCAACATTTCGCGTGAAAGTAACGATGCTGCTTGTCGACCACTCCATAATTCGTTGTTATCGCCAAGTTTATTGTCCAACCATTTCACCAAATCCAAATCACGCAGTTGAGAGCTTGGCATTGAGACTTTGAACGGTGCATCATAATTTAATCCCGGCTAGAACAACCATCCCATATTTACAATTGCCAATACTGCAAAATGTCCGCTAACACCTATGCTTTTACTACATCAATTATAATACATATATGATTCCATCCTACCATACGTTTAATTGCAAAACAGAATAACACATTCAATCAGTCCTGCATTACTAAATGATAGAGTAAATCAGTGACGTCTGCGATATGTTCGAATAAGAAATGCAGAAAATCAATACGGCATTACCTCAATCTTTTGTTTTTTAATTTCGGATGAATGGAGAGCACTCTCAACTTGATTCGCCATAACCGTGCGTTTGACTAGCTTCTCGCTAGAACTTTTCTCTCAATTTCCCCTTTTTTCCTCGTTTCCCTCCACTTCTCAGCAACAGCTTAAACAAATATATTCAACCAGAAATTGAATTAATATTTAAACATGATAGTAGCATGTAATGAATAGTTTCAATACTTTTATAATAATTTTATAATTGAGAACGGATACAGAAACAATTCCAAACTGATGAAATAGTTTAAAATTTGAAGGAAAACAGTAGAATCTACGGGATTACTAAATGACTGGTGGACATTAGGGGACAATGGGCATGGAATGCGGGAAGGGCGAAGAAAAGGGCAAGATTAACTTCTATTCACATCTAACAAATAATAAGCTTGTAATGCTTTAATGAAACCTCGCACCTACGGGACGAAACATGCCAATTAAATGCCACACATGAGAAGGGTAAATTTCCGTGTTATGTGACAATATGTCACAAATGTTGGGAACTAATTCGCGACACGGTTTTGGGACATCTCGCAGTTGCTGACGTGATTTCAGTTACTGCTTTGGTTTTGCATGATTGTAGCATGAGGTGGGTATTGTTAGGTTTAATGGAGAATCGGAAAATCAGACTTTAATTAAACTGCTCCGCTATCCCGTGGCTCATCATTATTCTTCCTGTCCCTGCTGATCTATCCAAATTCTAAACGAACGTTGCTAGGCAGTAACAGGATATCTGCTTATATTCAGGAAGAAATGCCTGAGTAATATAACGTTAGCTCTCCCTAGTTTGATCCATTTGATCCTTTTTCCCTTCTTTTCATTCAATGAAGATATTTTTCTAGACGAACAGTACCGAATTTTGTTAAAACAAAATTGATGGGAAGACAAAAAAGGTACTGAATGAGAATTATTTAAATTGTTGTTGAAAAAGTTAAAAATTGAAGTGATAATGAAACAAGGATGAGCAATTGAGATGAAACCAGTACAATATCTAAATTCATATTTAATTACTTTACAGAATTTCTGGAAATATCAAATAAAGACAAGCAAATGTCTTACTTTTGGCTTTGGACTCGAATGCCAAAAATCTTTTTGATGGAACTTATGATCAGTTAGTTTGACGAGACTTACCAGTCTTACCTTCTCGCCCCCCTCGTCTGCACGTGGACTAGAACATGAGCAGTGAGGCTCCCGAGTCGCAGTCAGGAACTTCTAGTGAGCCATGCAAAAGATGCATCTCATCAAACAGTGTAATAAAATACAAACACTATCAAAATACAAAACAAATACTATCGATTAGTCTGATCTCAAAACCCTTGTTAGGGTGAAAAATGGAAGTGTAAGAGCAAGCTACCTTGATAACTCGACAGTTTACTGTTCAGCGATTAAGTTAACACTTCTATCGAAATGATCTGTAATTCCCGAGATGCTGACAATACAGTCTACCATTCTGCCGAATAAAACCGGACCTCTGAATTTCAGAAGACAACATGTGGACTTTTCGAAGAATTTATTCAACCTAGTGTCATCGTTCCTTATTCACTTTTTCTGAATAGCAGTAGTTGTGGCCAAAAAAACCTGACATTATTCGCTACTGGCATAGAAGAGGAATGACCTTGCCTAAAATGGACAGAGTGCAAAGGAGTATTACATATCCTTTCCACTATACGATCCATAGAAGTTCAGCTCTGACTTTTACCATTTATTATTAACAAATATTATAATTGCAAAGCGGATATTTACACAACAGATATTTATATTCATTAGATGACAATGACATAGAAGTACGGATGTGAGGTATGAAATGATTTTGTACATTAAACGACTGAAGTCATCTTTTGATAGCTTTAACAACCCTGGAATAAACAGATGTTCAAAACACGAAAAAATAACATTTGGTGCTAAAAATGCTAAAGCTGGGTTATTTGTCGTTTGTTAACCTAAATTCATAATGAAATCGAATCAGTCACTAACTAAAGATGTTAAGATACAAATATTCTTCAGACAAACAACTCACTGCCAAAAATATTCTTCGATGGAGGGTATTAAAAGGAAAAAAAAATAATACAAATGATCCAGGACTGCTTCTAAACAAAGTATTGATGGAATTTCACACTTCGACGGGAACATATCACATGACCAAATTACTGGAATAGGAGAAGGCAGAAATGATCACTAATGCTGAGAAAAAATGAAAGGAAACTACATTATGTAACAGACTGAATTGATACAATAAGAAATCGAGACGGCAAGGAACCATTCAAACTTTAAGTGTAGTAATGCATAATATCACAATTAAAGCAATAAATTTCATAATTACGATAATGCGGCTGCTGCAACAAAGGAAAATAGAAATATAAGTTGCAGAAATCCCCAATGAGCTAAAAAAAATCGTATCTTCTATTGGCTAGCGAAAACGAAAGAGGTTTGAAACTATCAACAGCCGAATTAACCAGTAAAGCCAAATGGTTTCATGATCTGATCACGAACTCCATTTCGGAGAGCTGTGTTTTGTCACCGTACTAAATGTATTCAAAAAAATTAATAGAATTAACAATGACTGAAAATTATAATACAATCATATACAATCGATCATAATTACAAGTCAGCAGTGGTCGAGCAGACGAGGACCAGAACGGATAAGAGGAAAACTGTTTGCTCCAAAAAATAATTGTTTGAATGATTAATCAATTTTAAAGCAAAAAGAAGCCCTTTTTGTATTAAAATCACCATGTAACTCCAGTGATCTTTAGATGTACAGTGAATGAAAATGACTTGACTATCTAACTCAGAAATAAAAAACATCTTTTTCCCAAAATGATCCGAAAATCAAATCGGGTTACCACTTCTAGCAGGAATCACTTCCATCACACTCCATGTCTAAATCCAGTTCTGAATCTCACCACTGCTTTCAACAACATACGTTATCTTTTATGGAACAATAACACTGAGACTTTCAAATTACGTCCCAAAAGAACCTGAGATGAAAAAAACTGGACTAATTGACACTGTATTTTTCTTCTGAAAACGATCCTTTATTATACTGTAGATCCTGAAAATATAACTAAACCATGATAAAGTGTGACAAAACCAAGCATTTCCATATTTGCATCACAGGACTCATACTGCTGAGAATGCAGATTTAAAATTCTCAGCAATAAAATTCAATATTTATTCAAACTTGGAAAATTACCAGATTTCTTTAAGTATGGCTCCCAATAGTTCAAAACAGGCTTTGAAGGTAATGTTGTCAAATAAAAAAAATGTACTGCAACTGGAAATTCTTCTGCAGCAGGTAAGAAGCGAGCGATAATAACAGTCTAAAACATTTTATAGACATTCAACTTTTAGAAATAAAACAAACAATGTCAGCCATTGTGTATTACGATTAGTTCCTGCCTCTTGGAACACCTTTTTACCTACTGCAGTATCAACATCGCAGTACGAATAAGTTTTTTTTTCATTTTCTAGAAATAACTTCCCACTACTAATTCTAAAAATCCGTCATTTAACCAAACACAAACGATTTAACAATGAATCCAAATAATGCGCGTGTGATGAACTTCTACTAACTGTTAAAAGAAAAAAGCTACATTAAATTTCTGACCATACATGCCTGGATGATTAACGAGAACAGGGTAAGAGAAAAAGGAAAGATGAAGTAAAACTTTAGGAGCTGGAAATTTCTAACTGTAGACATCACTGAAAGAAAATTAAATTTAATAAATTCACATAAACAACCTGATCGATCCGCAAAGAACGGCTACGTATGGCTGAGTCGTACAGAAATTTACCGTGCTTGTTTCCAATAATCATTCTATAACGAAAGATTTACTTAAAGTGATACAAAAATTATTTCTGCTTTAAATTCCAAATGAACTTTATGATTCAATCATTGAAAATTGTTGTTAAACCAACAAATTTGATATGCTCAAAATACAGCAATAACACTTTGATAATAATACCGGTAATGCAGCAATACATCAAATTTCAAATTAGTCGAATAAGGTGTCCACTGTGACAAACAGTTTCTCTTCAAAGTAATCACCCTGTAAACAAGATTAATTCAAAAATAAAACTGGTCGGGATACAAACGGAAGCAATTCCGCTAACTGTATTTGAATTACAATATTAACGATTGACTAATCAGGGAAAAGAAAGAAAAAGGAGAAAGGAAAAAGAAAATAGGGAAAAAAAGGAAAAAGGAAAAAGAAACCGTTTACTGGTCGTGACAAACAGCATAATGAAATTAAAAAATTGCAAAAATCTTTTGAAATTAGCTGCCTGCCCAGAGTCTCAATTATCGATTCAACATGACTTAATTTCGTAGTTGCAGCAAAACACTTGATTATTTTGACAGTGTGCGAAAACCTACCCATCACTGTAATTCAGCAGTAGGTCTACACCGAAATTGAAACCAGACCATCGCCAACATTTCTTTAAAAAAATTATACATTTGCCAGTATTTCTAACGTGTCACGCAAATCTTTAATGCATTATAGAATTACTAACAAACTGATCGGCATTTGAGTGCATCGCGTTTTATAGAATCATTGTGACATTAATGAATTTTATATTATAAAATGGAAATGAGTCGTAATATTAGGAATTAAAGGACTGAAATTTGTTGGAAAGACAACCACAAAAGCATACATAATATTACCTACGCCGATTTTTTTAAAGAAAAAAAAAACATACCGGAGTTGAGTCAAGTATTCGTCCTAATCGATGAGCATTAAGGTGGAAATCTTCATCTTTAATTTCAATTTGCCTGAAGGTATAAATCGTCTTACTTCACAAACAAATAAATCTTTGACAAAGTTCTTCTTTCTCTAAATTCGAAACAAATGGTTTGATGAAAACAACAATTAAATTACTTGAATTATCATGTCCCTACAGTCCACGTATAGGAACTATCACACTGAAGTTTGAGAATAACCTTTGGTGTTTCGCTCAGAAACAGGAAGGATATATCACAATGTCGTGAACTATGAAATGGGACATGGACCTTATGCTCTCCTTTGTCGTGAAATAGTTAAAAATAAAATTCAACTAATGAATTCACCTAAAAAAACTTACTCTTTCGTCTCTTCACTGCGCAAAAGTAACAACCAGTTGTCAGCAAGCACCTGGTCGATAATTTCATTTGGAACAAGTGGATCTTTTCGTAAATCGCCGATTGTCTTTATAGACGAAACAATGTGCCCAATACGGATATTGCAAGTTATGTCAGCAAATGTACGACACAACGCATCCCTGTCACCATCCGTTAGTGACGAATAATATTTCTCCATTTCAGTCCGTATTTCTTTATTTTCCACAACATAAGGAACTGTTTGCAAGAAAATCCACTGAAAGTGACTGAACCGATTAATTCTTCCTATCATCACAGAAATTCATGTAAATATGTAAAATATTAATGACCAAATAAACTCTATGGAATTATTCGAAATCCATAAAATTGCCACAGAAGTATACAACATCGACCATCTAATCAACGACCAGATTAAACGAAAAAGTTGAGAGCTGGCATCACAGACCTCCTTGTTAACATGAAGTGATTAAATCCAACATGTAATGATGCGAGGAACTCAGTGACCAGACAGTCGTGATGATCTCGACTACAAAATTTTGTACCTTTTTGATTGTTTCATACAGATCAAGTTCTCCTTCAATGACCAACAAATCCGATGCAGCCATCAACTTTGCCATTGTTGCGTGACTGGAAAATGATCACCTTTATAATCAGAAGCCAAAGTATTGCATGAACGTAATTCAGTTCATCTGTATACACAATGCAAGTTTTGTCGACTGCGCCATATGTTTGTCACAAATTTGAATACATATGTTTCGTAACAAAATAACAGTGCTCGAACATGAGAATTTTCAGACAAAATTTGTCAATAAATTCAAAAAGTAGTAACCTGACTGTATAAAGGATTGCTGGTTTAGCCGACAATCGCCAAAAGTTATTTTTTAAATATTTAAAACATTTTTCGGACAAATCAGGAAGGCCATACTGCTCGGCGAGTAAATGGAACTCGAGTACTCGTTCATCACTGAGTGATTCGGCACATAGTTCCGCACAACGCTCCATAACACTATCCTGAAATCATATATGAGACTGCAAATGGGATGTAAAAAATCTTCAAACTAAAATTAAGAGTGTAAGATGGAGTACTAGAAAACTGGAATAAATCATTCAATGAAAGGAGAAGATAAACGAGTGAAAAAAACGAACGTCGTTCACAGAATAAAGGAGGAAGTAAGACACATCTACTGCCGGTCTAAGGAAAACATTACTAAGCTAAGCATTGAAGCTGATGCGATAAGACTCGGAACATTCTCTAAATCCAGTTCAATTTCATTGTGATACAGTGATTCCAAAACCATATTAAATCCTGGAAAAGTACAAAGGACTTGTGCATGTGACAGAGTCTACTAACAACTATTGAGTTCCTCTTGACTGCTTTATCATCGTTAAAGAAAAGAAATTACTCATAATGCAAACTTCATTAAAAGAAAGTGAAACTTCACCAGCCGGATAATTCACAGCATACCAAAGAACAATAAAAAGCTAACCTTCGACTGTGATATTCGGGTCAACGATATCAATCTGTATCACTGCATTATTACTGTCTTTCCAATGACCTCTGAAGGAGAAGATGTAAATGTACAGAATGGGGAAGTATGTATGGAAATAAAAGAAGAATCTAATGACTGAATTGGTATTTTGAATTAGTAATTTGGTAAAATACTTTGCTTACAGCCAAAGACTAAAGAAAAGCATGAAAAGGAACCTGCTTTGGTCATTTATTGCTCTAACAACTACTATATGGTTATTTCTAAACTGCAGATTTATCTGTGTTGATACGATTTGATATCAGATTTCTAACAAAGTTAAGATGTCTTATTTGAAACTATTTCGTACAATCCACATGCTAAATAACTGTAGGAAACTATCAGTACCGAATGTTCCAAGAGAAAAAGTAACCATACACTCTTTATCAGAATCTTTAACAGCAAACAAAAGACACAACAAAATCAAAATTTCTATCAGAGACCACGTATGCAAAAATACCTGAACAAGCTGTCGAAAAATTTGCATTGTTCCAAATAAAGTCTATGAAGATTCCATGTTCGTCCTAATGCATGAATTGTTATATCCGATTTGGCACCATCAACGAACAATCGCTTATGGATATATTTTGCAGTATCCAGCTATATATTGATGATTATGGAAAATATCATTACTTTAGAACGAGACTGGCAAATATGGCAATTTCAACAAAATGCATTGAAGAAATATACGTTACATTTGCTTCTTATGCTTACTTAAAGGAAGAGGTACATAACTAACCGACACAGTAACATGCGTATAGAACTGAAGTAGTGTCAAATACTCACTGATAATGAATATATGGTTTAAGGCAGATTAACCTTTTGGATTAAATAAGCTACAATATCCCAAAAGATTACAAGTCACAGTTACTTCAAGCAGGTTTTTGTTTAACATATATAATCGAATCAAAACTTTACCTCCTTGCGGAAATAGGCAATCTTAACATGCATAGCACATATATTAATGGAAATTTTTAAAATCTACCACACGTACTTTGCTGATTTTCTTCTTCCGCGTTTCCATCTCGTCATCACCGGTGATTTTACGTTTACGTGAAGGAGTGGCCCGTGTGGGATCAGCAATCATCTCCACGTCATTAAGTCCCATCCTACCGTTTGATCGCCCCAATAATTGTCCCATCTGGCTAACACCTAAAAAGTTAATATCCCAGTATTTTCCAATCTAAAACTTCTGATATAGTGCAGAGAACTCCAACAATGATGAAACTCTGTCGTATTCCATCTGAGAATATTTCGAAATCCGTTCCTGTTTCTTTTGTGATGATAATTGCGCCGGATGGAATTCCTTTTCCCGCACCTACTTTAGCAATTCACCGAAAACTCGATAGCGACCCTTCACGAATTCCCAAATTAACCCACAGTGAGAAACTTTCCCCACATCGACAGGAAATACCAGAACCCATTCAGATTACCACGTACTCGGTACCAAATCACGAAATTACCACAGCCAATCGAGCCAAGCAACCACTCATCATTCCCGCACCCTTCAATCACATGATTAATTCTGGCACCGGACCGTAAAATATAAAGTTCCGGACTCTATGGCTTGACGAGAACAGAAAGATTGGGATGAGCGGTCGTTTGGAAAGGTTGGCTGCACTTCATGAGGTTATGGTTCGTGGAATGTTTCCTGGGAACCCATTGGGACAGGTGTGCGTAAATTACACTTGTATATCATCACGTTATGAAGTAATTCAGGCATATTTGTGCATATAGACGTAGTGACCACCGAGTTGATGCTGACTTGGGAAGGTACAGGGTAAACCGGGAATTGCTTTCCCAATTCGCCTAATATCTTCTGGATTATAGATGTCTGCATCGGCATGACGCGAAGCGCAATAAAATTTCATGGAGTGCACTCCAGCAATATATTTTCAGAATGTAGATATTGCCGATAATAACCATATATATGGTAGAATCCAATTCTTTTGTTTCTTTCGGATACTGTTAGAAAAGCTAATTTGTTGACTTCGTTTGTTAGCGGTACAGGTTTATTCAGGATGCAATGTCATTCTTGCACAATATTACCAGTTAATAGCAAATATATATATATATATATATATATAAAGTATATAGTATACGACGAATTGATAAGCAGAGATTAGTTGTACAATAAACAAGCAGTATGACCAACTAACAAATCCCTTGCCGTTTCGTTCGATAATAGTTGACTGTCAGTTTCCTGCTAGGTTGCGTAATGGTTGACATGTAAGAGTTCGTCCTCCGCTGAGCTGGGCATATACTGTAGGGAAGTTTATTCAACGGAAGGATTGTAGCTCGATGGTAACTGATAGCTGAAGAGGACGTTGCCTGATGTGAAAAAACTGGCTGTGTAAGCTTCTCTTTCATATATACCCCTAGGTTTAAGGGAGGTGCTTCGATAAGCTTTGATAAGCTCCATCAGAATTATCATGAAGGTATAACTGACCTTTGTATGTCCAGCCATGAATAGGTACAGAGATGTCTTTGTGATATTCCCTCCATTATTGGCTTATATCCTTCTCATTGCCTTAATTTTACAGGATTTCATCATCCTATCTGGTAGATATCGTAGAAATTTGATTTGAACGTAACTTTAATTTCAGTAATCCAACAGATAGAGTCATTTGCATTGCATTTCCAGTAAGAGCATTATTGAGTGAATAAGGGTCCTCCATTTATTTTATAATGGTCTTTTCTTTATTATATTTGTTACAAATAAGGTCTTGAAATAATTATTAAATAATGAAAATTAAATAATTTAGAAGTCACTTCAAATTATCAGTTATCACACTATTTCTATCCTGACATACAATGGTTATTTTCCGTATCAAATAAGCCTCACCTATGAACAAGTAGAAAATCCTTTTGTGATAAAGTCCAAACTTTAGCCCCAGGTCCACGACTTGTCCAGGTATACTGTCTCCGGGATTTCGTCCAGCTACACTGCGACCAGGACCGCATCCAGCTTACACCGAGTTGATAGCGACTTAAGTGACTCAAGACTCACATTCACAATTTTAGAAATTTCACCGGAAATACTTGAAAACATTAACACATGCTAAGAAATTTCAATTTAAATTTCTGGACAGTTCACAGGGGAAAGGGAAAAAGAAAACAAGAAAAAAAGTCGAAATAAACTGTAATGACAAAAAGAAACAAACTTATTCTTATTCATGAAACATACAATAAATTAACAGTGCATAGCAGCAGCATATACATTGGAGTATACATTTACAAGGAAAACAATAAACTGCTTTCAGAGATTTTTCAGTTTTGGAATTGGAAAAGGTCGTGAAAATTCAAACTGTTGTCATTCATAACTGTACTTTTTAACTATCATTATATATATATATATATCATTTATTTATTTATTTATTCACTTATACTCCCAGCCATACAAAAATACACGGATCCGCCTAGTAATACAGAAATTTAGGATACCAAGACTTTACAGATATGAAGAATTATGAAGCTGGTGAACGTTCAATATCCGACATATATGTAGTAACCAGCGGATATTCAATATCCAACCATTCTTCAATCTTTAAAATATTTAACTGAAGGCGGCGCTTTTGAATTTTGGTCATCAACATAAATTTATAAGTCAATGAGCAAAAATTTTTCAGATGAAAAGCTCGGTAAGAAAAGTATTATAGAAAACGTGGGAATCGAAAAATTAACAAAACATATTCGATGATTCAGTGCAGCACATTTTCCGGTCGCAGCGTAATTGTACTCCGTACACTAGCCTTCTAAGAAAAATATAAATCCATAAAGCATAAAATAATAAAAACTTCATTACACTAAATTTCGATACATCATTGGCTACTGTATGTAGGAAAGGTAACACGAAAGTGCAGCCCTCCTCATACCTGCCAAACTTGAGACAGCACGCAATTTCAATCTGATTCCCATTCACTGTCGTTGTTATTTGCTTCTTCTTCCGATTCTGACTCTGAAAAACTGGAGTTTTTCTAGTTGGCATCTAAACATCCCGAGCAAGTCAAGATGCAAAAATTCTCGTTTCCCACTTTCCTGTTCCATTTCAAGTACTCCACAACAAAAACACCGATCAGCACATAATCGAAACATTAGTTCATCAAAAGTCAAAAAAGAAAATTAACAAACCATCTGAATTGCGCATATTCCTCCTCCTTTCTTCTAAAGCTCGAGCTAATGCACCTGCAATTCCGGCTACATCTGTAGCATTTGGTATCGATTTTCGACTTTCGATCTCTTCTTTGTCTACCTGTAACAAATTCACTGTTTACATAATTGTTTTAAAAGTTCGATTATTTCATATTTCCATCCCAGCAACGAAAAAAAAGGAAAAATATTTCCAAAATGTGATTGTGAACATAATAATGCTTCAAAACAAATGAATCAACTGCATTCATCAATCTCTATGTTCAAGTAATCCTTTAAATGAAAAGATCAATTTCACTGCGGGAAAGTTAATACTAACAGGCTTTAGATTGGCCCCTTGCCGTATCTGTGCCATCATTTCATCGCGTGCGTCGGTAATACCATTATCATGATTGCTATTTGTTGCCACTTGTTTCAAAGTAACACCCGCTTGTATCTCCTAAATGAACGACATGAAAAATGATATGCATGTACTAAGTCTCTGAGAGGCAAAATTTCCATATCTCATTCAAAGCTCCGAAATACATCCAGATTTCAAAATATAGTGCAGCAGATTCTATCAATAAAAAGATCATAAAATTACGCAATGTCCTATTATATACGATAAAGCTATAAAAGAAAGAAAAAACCGCTTACACTAAGTAAACTTGCTTTCCCTCCTCCACTGTTGCTGGGAGCGGAAGTGTACGATGGCGGAGGCGGTGGTGGAGGCGGAGGTGCTATACTACTGGTGTGTGTTACAGGAGGTGGTGGTGGTGGAGGAGGAGGAGGAGGCGGTGCATGAGAAGTCGTAGAAACTGATGAAAGAGGTGGTGCCATCGGTACTAAGCAAGTAGAACTTGACGGCGGAGGTGGTGGCGGAGGCGGTGGGGGTACATCATTTGGTCGGTAGGTAACTGATGTCCCATTCACTACACCAGGTGGCTAAAACAAGCTGAAGTTATATACTTTTTAGATAAAGCACAGACGAATTACACAGTGCAGTTTATTCTTTTGTTTGAAAGTTCGAAATTTTAGAATGCTTCCTCAAACTTCGAATGAAAATTCATTTGACCTGTGGCAAAGGTCTCGCTGGAGGCTTGCTGGAAGCCGGGGGTTTCAGCGGCGGCCTTGAAACTGGAGTGATATGAAATCCTTCACGACGCATTAATGGAGGTGGTGGCGGTGGAACTGGTGATAAAGTGACACAATTTGTAATTGAAGAGGTCATGAAAGGCCTGAAAAATTGCAGTTAATGTCTAAAACAAAAGTACATCTCATTTCCATCGAAAATTATCTTACAAACAGTTAGAGAAAATTAGATTTTGAAATCACCTCGGATGGCTGTGATGCATTGGGGTTGGTGGTTGCTGTACTTGAGGTACCTCTTGATAGCCGGTAATGAATTTTTTCGAAAATTCCAAATCATCTTTAGACATTCGCTCCGGATTCTCTCCCGCAGCACGTAAAACAGCCTTCACGCTATCATCCATTGGATCATAGTTATAGGTTTCTTGAGAGAAACCACCATCTTGATTCCACCCAAGATGAGCCTTGTGCCTACAGTATCGGAATATTAAAACATAGTATGATACAATAGACCCAAAAATACGGCTCAGTAAAAGTGAGAATTATGGAAGTCTTACTTCTGTGAACGTTCAGCAATCGTCAAGAACAATTGTAAATATCCCCAAAATATCTCTGGTCTTTAGTACAATAAATCAATCAGCGACGGGTCATTATATGGAATTACGTCCCCCTTCCCCCTCCCCAAATTTTGGATGCCTAGCATATGTAAAGAAAAGTTCTTTTAGGACTAACCAAGATGATCAAACGAAAAAATAAACTGAAGTTTCTATATTGATTTCTTCGAAAAGACGAAAGCCGAATAGTGCATAAAGTTGTAGCATAAAAAACTGACTGAAAATTGGTTGGATTGCTGATGTCTTCTTTTCGAATCTTCTGTTTTTTTCTTTTTTAGAACTCTTCTTTTTGGTTCTATTAATCGTTACGAAATTTGTCCACGCACCGCCACCAATATTTGGTACGGTACCCATACTAGTAATGCCAGTCCTATGAGGAACTGCATGAGTCCGGCCAGAGGAAGGTAACACCAATGATCCAGATGAGGGTGAAATATACTGTGAGCCACTCGTTGCTAACCTCTCTTTCTCTTCTGCAGAAAAAGTGAACATTGTCAAACAGTAACATAACTGTAACTGTGAAAATAGTACGATGAAATCTTTTGAATTTTTCATCTCTTCCGTCACTTGTTGCACTGCTTCAACATTCCCTCCCTTGTAAGCTTTTCGTTTGCTCAAATTTCACAGCAAAGCTCAAATTCTTCTAAAGCATTAAAATGAACCGCAATTCCTCGATCGGCTTTTATGGTTCAAATATCAAGGGAAAGTTGATAAATACGGAAAGAAATGATCCCTGACAAACTTACGAGACTTTTTTTCCTGTTCGTAGCGTTTATCGAGATGAGACTTGAAGCTGTATGCTTCTTCCTTACTCGAAAAATTCAAACCAAACACACATTCATCGCCCTCGAATGTTAGAAGGTGAGGACATCCTACTGGCTGTGACGCATGGAAATTCTTGTACCTAAACTAGTTGGTGTAAAAAACTTTGAAATCAAATATAAACCCTCAAAGTTAAACATTTTTAGACGGAATATTTCCTGAATAAAACTGCCGAATTTCTAAAAAGTTATAAAAATTGCTGCTTAAAGAAACGTACTCAAAATCAATGGTGAAAATATCGCTTAAGAAATGGGCTCAAATGATTTTCTTGAATAACGTTTTACACACCAAGAAAAAAACCACCTTAAATCTGACAATTACAACTTTTTCGAATTAAAAAATTGTAAAATAGCTTACAACATTTGTTGCCAAAGATATTGTTTCCTATAAATATCATATAAGCGTAAGAAATATGCTCTTTTATCATAGTCCTTGACCAGTGAAACCACTCCTCTGTGAGCTTTGATCCATACACCTGGATTCCGTGAATCAGATTTCAACAACTGCACAACACCTGCTGCTAATGAGACACAGTCATGTCCAAGCAACGAAAATAGCGTGCCATTTTCAGTTGAGTTAAAAAGAAGGGCGCCTGTGTTTGGAGGTCTGCAATAATCATAATAACATAAGTAGCATACAAATACAGTGATTTTTATGGGCAGGGTAGGAAAACAATTTTTCCAAAAAGTTCTTTTCAGAATCAATATCCATTAAAACTCGTACAAAAAGAGGCACCTTTTTTTGGGACGACCTTTGGGCGTGTTACTCAAGCCTACATGTTGTACGCCTAGCTGATATGCGCCAGTCACTGTGCCACCGGTGTACATAGCCTGAAAATGACACAGTAACAAAAATAAAAGTAAAAAAGCAATAAAGAATCTCCTCCTTTGTAGCTTCAAATATTACTACACCTTATTTCTAAGATCCATTTTGACAGGAAGACATTTTTAATAAACAGGTATAAACAGTAAGCAAAACTTTAGTGCGGTAATAAGAACGATGGCTGAAATAATCAAAACCATGACTTCTGTGCAAAGTAATAGTAGCAATAAAGTTTGCATCTTTAATCATGATTATAACTACATCACCCAATAGCTCAACAGTTCAGAATCTACTTTAAATATTTTTTGTTCTCTCAACTGGGATTTATCCACAACTCTTAATGGTGGTAATAACTCATACCAGTTTCAATTTTCAGCAACGAATTTCGAAACATACAAAAAATGACAAATAATATTGAGTGTACAGTGGTGCCTGAAAATGTGACTCATCAGAAAATGAAACACTGAAAATAAACCCTTATAATTTTAAGCTATCGTAAAATTTAACATTCCTCTCTTTTTCTTGGCGATGTAATCCAACCCGATTTCACTACCATCAAAAATCCTTTATATTTTCATACTATAGTCCCTCCTCAAAATCTAAACTTGAATATCCCATGGGTTGCAAGAGTGGAAATGATTAAGGATGGTAATCAAGACCCACAGGACAAATGCTTTGATGATTCATTAACCGACGAAACGTGACTCTACATTTGGTAGGCTAATGACGAGATCCGTGTCACCAATAACCTGATTTGCAGAGGAAATGACTTGAAGTTTTATCAGCCCATTTCGGATGGTCGATTTACAGCCATGTGCGGTGTGCAATCACATGATAAATGGTAAAGTGTAGCCGAAAAAAGTCAAAGTCTACAAAAAATGTGATGAACCTGAAGAAACGAAGATTGAACCGGCCAAAGACGCAAATTCTTCGAAGTGCAAACGAGTTCTTCTACCACTGCACAATCTTCTGCAAATAAAAATATCTACAAAAAAAAGTTTTGGGAAACAAACAGACCAACAACACCGCTACTTGTAAATGATATCAAATCCGCTGATTATGTAATTCAAGAACAAACAATGTGTAAATCTGTAGATATTGGTAATTTAAAAAAAATAATCGATGTTGTAATTGCTAATTTCAGCTTCTAAGTTGCCACAAAAATGATCAACATGGACATTTCTTTACAACGATAGCAAAACAAAGAACTATTTACCAGAAATTCCCTGGATATTTGGCTATAATTTCTGAAGTTTGAAATCAATCAAGACATTGTTTTAGAATGCTAACTGGACAAAGCCAAGCGCTACATTTCGCTTTTTTTTGATCACTCCTAGGCAGCCAGCCATCGTATAGGCATGCAGCTTGCAGTTTCGGTATTTCGACACTTTCAGAACAACGGATCTGATAAAAGCTGACTGTAATATTAACTCCAAGAACTAAGTAATATTTACTAATATGCGGGATTTCAATGTCGAATATGAAACTGTATGGTTTCATATGCGGGTAGTACAAGCGACATTTTCTTTTCATTAACCTGCCGGTCTAGTTCCGTTATAGACAGAAGCACTTCTAAAAAGAAAGTGAACTGTGATGTCTGAAAATACTCATTCCCATGACTTATCCAGAAACCCTAATCTGCTCATAATGCTGGACTTCCAGATTCTAGGTTTACTTGTCCACATGACTGATACAAACAATTCTGAGAGTTGAACTCTGGCACAATTCCGAGAGTTGAACTCTGGCATATCTCAATACCATGAAAACTCACAGAAAGGTGAACAGGCCGGCACTCATTAACAACATTTGTGTCAACCGTAGAGTACCGATCGGTTCGATACTAACGGAAATCAGGATGGGATGAAGGGATGGAGCAGTTTTTGATGAAGTGTAAAACTGATTGACGATATTGTCAAGAATGGCGTGGTTCAGGTCATGATTTACGCAAGCATTACTCGTCTGCAGATATCACAGATATGTTAAATATCTATGCGACCCATATTCTAATTCAAAATTGAAGTTAAATGGGAAGCATGAATCTGTGGAATCTCACACATATCAAGATTCAGTAAGGTTACGCTTATAAAATACTCCTTAATTTTGAACAAACAATATCAATTGGTCCCTACGGCATTTCGGGCCATCTGCCTGTATCTAGCATAACATCCGGGAATGGGTAATCCTGATTTCGAGCTTTATGGAGTGCTCACTCCTGACTGTGCTGACGTGAGACCACAGGAATTTTCCATGTGACCATTGCAGTTCCAACATATCGTTCGATCTGAAAACAGTGAGCGGCGAAGTGATACTCTATATAAGACATATAACTACGCCACCTCTGGAAAGATGTTAAGAAAAATTTTACGATTAGTAATTGAGAAGAGTAGAGTGACGATCTTACCAAAATTATCACAAAGAATAGGATGCACCTAAAATACACATTGAACACGTCTGGCAAACTGCTGGCACCTTTATCCAACCTTTTCATTCCTTCTGGTCAAGACTGGCCAAAGAAGGTTTTTCAGCTAGCGTGTTTGTCTTTTCCTTTGGCATATCTCTTGCTCATCTCCATGAAAATGAGGCGGACATGACCGGTGCGGGCATATTTTAG